CATCTCCCAAATGTGAGTGCAGGCTTGTGTCCCTACCTTGCTTCAACTTTCCTCCACACACACTCCTACCAACATGGTCCAGCCTTACCCAGGCTGGCAGCGGTCATCAGCTGACCACGGACTGAAACCTCTGACACCATGACCCAAAATAAACCCCTCATCCTTGTAATTACTGATTTTTGTGGGTTTGTGGGTTTGTGGGTTTGTTTCTTTGGTTCTGCTTTTTGAGACAGAGGCTCACTCTGTAGTCCAGGCTATCCTTAACTCACAGAAATCCATCTGCTTCAACTTCCCACATTCTGGGATTATAGTCATGAGCAGACATCCTCTTTTTAAATTCCTGTCTTGGTTATGGGCATGGCGGCACATACCTGTAATCTCAGCACTTGGCTCTAGAGATAGGAAGATTAGGAATTCAAGGCCAGCCTTGACACATGAGACCTGTCTCACCAAAGCCAATAAAAAATAAAAATAAAGTGTTCTGGCCTAGAGAGATGGCTTAGTGGTTAAGAGCATGCACTGCTCTTCCAAAGGACCCATGTTTAATTCCCATCAACCTTGGTGGGCAGGTCACAACAGCCTGTAACTCAAGGTCCTGGAGCACCCAATGCCTTTGGTTTCTGAGGGCACCTGCACTCACATACTCACATACACACACACACACACACACACACACACACACACCACCACCACCACACAATTAAAAAAATTTTTTTTGGTCTTTTTGAAACAGGGTTTCCCTGTAGCCCCAGCTGGCCTGGAACTCACTATGTAGACCAGGCTGGCCTCAAACTTACAGAGATCCACCTGCCTCTGCCTCCCAAGTGCTGGGACTACAGGCATGCAGCACCACGCCCAACTTCAAAATTTTTAAATACCTTTTAAAAATATTTTATTTTTATGTGTGTGTATGAGTGTACTGCCTGCATGTATATAAGTGCACCTGTGTCATGCAATGTGCAATACTCATGAAGGTCAGAAGAGGGTGTCAGATCCCCTAGGACCTGTAATTATGGACCGTTGTTAGTTGCCACGTGGGTGCTAGAAACCGAACCCAGGTCCTCTGCAAGAACAGTCAGGGCTCTTAACCACTGAGCCATCTCCAGTCCCCCCACCCCCACCCTGAGAGTGTGTGCACCGTGTATCCCTGGCTGGTGTGGAACTCCCTATGTAGACCAGGCAGACCTTGAACTCATAGAGATCTGCCTTCTTCCTTTTAAGTACTGGAATTAAAGGCATATACCACCACATCCAGTGAGATCCTTTCCTAAGTTGCTTTTGACCGTAATTTGTCACACCACTGAGAAAAGCAGCTAATCAATAAGGATGAGTTGGACACTTTTGATTTCTGACAGGAATATGAAACTGTGCAGCAGCTGTGGAAAACCTTTGATGTGTCTTCCGAAAGGTCAACACAGAGCTAGGAATGGGGCTCATTGGTACAGTGCCTGCCTGGGATTTTGGTTTCACTTCCGGTTGCCGTGATAAAATGATAAAATACCCTGACAAAAGCAACTTTAAGGGGGAAAGGCTAATTGTAAATATCCAACCTACAATTCCAGATTACAGTTTGTAATTGTGGGGAAGTCACGGTAGGGACTTAACGCAGCTGGTCACATCCAGAATCAAGAGTAGAAGAGAAACGCTTGCTTGTGCTCAATGCCTCTCTCCACTGCTCTTGCAAAGGACCTGGGTTTGGTTCCCAGACCCACATGGCAGCTAACAACAATCCTTAACTCCAGTTTCAGGGGATTTCACGCCCTCTTCTGGCCTCTTCGGGCATTACATGTCATGGGTGCACTTAGATACATACAGGCAAAGCATTGATACACATACAATAAAAATAACAGTTTTTTTGGTCTTTTTGAGACAGGGTCTCCCTGTAGCCCCAGCTGTCCTGGAACTCACTATGTAGACCAGGCTGGCCTTGAACTCACAGAGATCCACCTGCCTCTATCTCCCGAGTGCTGGGATTAAAGGCATGTGCCACCGTGCCTGGCTTTAGATTTCAATTTTATTTTTAGCTATGTGTGTATGTGTGTCTAAATGTGGGTTTGTGCAAGGAAGTGCAATGTCCACTGAGTCCAGAGGATGGCATCAGTTCTCCTAGAGCTGGAGTTATAGGTAGTTGTAAGCTGTCCTGTGTGGGTTCTGGGAACCAAACCCTGGTCCTCTGTAAGAGCAGTATGCACACTTAATCAGCAAGTCATCTCTCTAGTCCTTGTAGTCTACAGTCATACCACCCTGAACCCACCCAATCTTGTCTGTTCTGTTTATTGAGCTTTAAGCATGCTAGGCAAGGGCTCCTACCTCTGAGCTATACTTTCAGTCCTTGTTTTATGTCTGCCTTTCCCTCCTCCCTCCCTCCCACCCTCCATCCCTCTCTCCCTCATGCTTTTAACTGACGAGCCATCTCCAGTTCCTATTCAACTTCTAAAAATTACACTGATTGGTAAGTATGTGTGTACAGGTTACATGGCACATGTGTGACAGTCAGAGGACAACTTATAGGAGTCTGATTTCTCCTTCCACCATGTTGGTCTCAGGGATCTAACTCAGGTTGTCAGACTTAGCAGCAAGCACCTTTACCCACTGAGCCATCTCACTGGTCTGTTTTAATTTCTTGAGGTAGGGTCTCATGTAGCCCAGGTTGACCTCAAATTCACTATGTAGTTAGGGATACTCCTGATCTTCCTGCCTCCACCTCCCAAGTGTTGGGATTACAGAAGTACACTACCACCCCAGTTTATGTGATGCTGGGGATTGAACCCAGGGCCTTATGCATGCTAGACAAGCACTTTGCCAAATGCACCACATCTCCAGGAGGTACTAATATTATCTTAAAATTTTTTATTGCTTTTATTTGTGTTTCTCTCTCTCTCTCTCTCTCTCTCTCTCTCTCTCTCTCTGTGTGTGTGTGTGTGTAACATAGCTTGCATGTAGAGGTCAGAGAACAACTTTGTGGTGACAGCTCTTTTTCCATCATGTGAATCCAGAGGACAGAACTCAAGTTGTTCGGCTTGGCAGCAGGCACCTTTACCCATTGAGCCATCTCACTTGTCCAGGCACTAATACTCTCAACCCCATTTTACAGATGGGAAAACTGAGGAGCAGAGAGGTGGCCTAATTTTAACCAAAGTCACACAGCTGGTAAGTAGCAGACCTGAGATTTAGGCCTAGGTTTCCTGTCTCTGAAGCCTTCTTTTCTGACCACTATGTTGTACTGGACATATGTAAGCATGTAGAGAGTTCTAGAACAGAACAGATTTCTGGAGAGAGGAGTGGAATGGGTCTAGGTTAGCGGTTAAGAGCACTGTCTGCTCTTGAAGGGGACACAAGTTCAGTTCTCAGCATCCACAAGGCAACTAACAACTGTCCTTAACTCCAGGGTCAGGGGATCTGACGCCATCTTTTTGCCTGTGTAGGCATTGCACACATGGATGCACTTACACTGACGCAGGCAAAATACTCAGACACACACACAATTTTTTTTTTTTAACTTAAAAAGTGGCCAGGCACACTGGTGGCTCACGTCATTAACCCTAGCACTCAGAAGGGAGAGGCAGGTGAATCTCTGTGAGATCAAGGCCAGCCTGGTCTACACAGCAAGTTCCAGACATAGTGGCATATTTGTGTAATCCCAGCTGAAATGTATTGTTAATCATTGAAGCCATCCCGTGTTATGAGTTCCAAGATAGTCTGGCCTATAGAGTGAGACCCTGCCTCAAAAAATCTAAAATAAGGGGCCTGGAGAGATGGCTCAGTGGTTAAGAACATTGACTGTTCTTGCAGAAGAGCTGGGTTCGAATCTCAGCACCGACATGACAGCTAACAACCGTCCATAACTCCAATTCCAGGGGATCTGACAGCCTCTTCTGTCCTCCATGGGCATTGTCCGACATGGGTGGACTTACTTACATGCAGGCAAAACATACACATAAAACAAAACAATAAATGAAATATTTTTTAAATCTAAAATAAGCAGCAGCAGGGAGAGGTATCAGTACGTAAAGGCACCCACTGCCAAGTCTAATGACCTGTGTTCAGTCACCAGAATCCACATGATGGAAGGAGAGAACTGACTTCCTGGAGTTGTCCTCTGAGTGCCACAGGTGCACCATGGCGCCACAGGTGCACCATGGCATGTATGTTCACACAACACACACGCATATACACACAGAGACATACAGTTACAGACAGCACACACACACACACAGAAACACACCTACTTACTTCATTTTAAAAAGAACCGGGGCTGGAAAGATGGTCAGCGGTTAAGAGCACTGACTGCTCTTGCACGATATGGGTGCCCTTACATGCAGGCAGTACATTCATACACATAAAATGAAAAAAATAATTTTAAAAAGAGGCCTGGAGATGTAACTCAGTGGGGAGCCCTTGCCTAGCATGTGCGAGGTTCTGGGTTCAAACTCCAGCACCAAAACCCAACCAACGAAACAAAACACAAACAAAAAAGGTGTTTCTTTGTGAGCATTCATTGAACTGTAACCTTGGTATCTGTGGCTTACTTAAACTTACACCATACTTAAATTTCTCTTCTCCCCTCCCCTTCCCTCCCCTCCTCCTCCCCTCCTTCCTATCACTTTCTCTCCTCTCCTGTTCCTTACTTTTCTCCCCTCCTTTTCTCCTCTACCCCTCCCCCTCCCCTTCTCCCTCCCCCTTTCGCTAGCTCAGAATTCACTGCACAGCTCAACCTGACCTCAACTCGCTCCATATCCTGCCTCGGCCTCTCGAGTGCTGGGATTACGCCACCACGACCGCTAATTTTACTAGTTTATAAAAACAGAAAGGTTCATCATGCATCCTTCCATCCATTTAGTGTCCACTGACCACTAGGTGTCCGCTCTGGGGGCTAGGCAATTCCCCCGGGAATCAGAGCATTTCCCCGCCTCTCGTTCCTTGCTCATGATTGGCTTCCTTCCTGACCAATAGCGGGCGATTTCATCATTCCCCGACTTTCCCATGCAGCTACGGCTAGACGCAGCTTCCTCTGTTCCGCTAGCAGGAGGCGCTGTGGGCTCCTCCGCCTGGCGGTCACGCTCTGACCTGGTCCCCACCCTTTCTTGAATTTTTGCAGATTCTCGGGAATGGAGACGGATATGCCCCAGCACCCACAGCTTTTCTGCAAAACTTTTGGTTTATTTTTGTCTGTGCATCTCTCGAATGCGCATCCAGACTTGAAGCTCCGCCCGGTACCTAAGCTCTAGTTGATGTGACCTCCAGCTATTCCGGCCTCCAGGGCAAGGCTTGGGAAATCTTGATAGAGGTCCAAGCCGGCAGCCAGCACTTCTCTCTGACGGCTAATTGTTCAGTGGGTTGTTTATTTATGCTGGAACGGAGGGTTGCCGGGTGCGCGGGGGTGGCTGCCTCCAGGGAAGCCTGCTTCCTGCCTGTGTCTTACTCAGCTACCAGTCGCCTTCTTAAGCCCTGGAAAGAATCGCTAGACCTGGAAAGACCCTGCCTGAAGGTACTGATCACCCAGCAAAAGGTACTACCTGCCTTGTTTTTAGATCTGTGTTCGAGACATTGACGGTGACTTCCTGTGGGAGCTCCAGCTTCGCTCTTACCCAAGGGAGAGGAAGACTTCAGAGACAGGAGTGGGGCTGGAGAGACCGCTCAGTGGTTAAGAGCACTGGCTGCTCTTGCAGAGGGCCCAGGTTCGATTCCCAGCACCCACACGGCGGCTAACAGCCGTTGTAACTCCAATTCTAGGGGATCCAACACCTTCTTCTGACCTCCGCCGGCATCAGGACACAGGTGCACTTACACACATGCAGGCAATACAGTCATACATATAAAATAAAAATAATAAAATATTTAAAAAAGAGACAGGACTGACTGAGGGTAAGCCAAGGGTAGCCTAGAGGCCCACCTGATGGACATCTGAAGCTAGCCTCTGAAAGGACAAGAGTTAGTGAGGGGACAAGAACTTTGTCTTTATGGCTACCATGCCACTGAGCACCAATTTTTTTGTATCAATTACTTATTCACATTTATTTATTATTTTTGGTTGAGCCAGGGTCTCATGTAGCCCATGCTGGCCTGGCACGCACTATGTAACAGAGGATGACTTTAGAACCCCTGATCCTCCTGCTGTGATTACAGTTTTTGAGGTGCTGGGGATTGAACCCAGGGTATGCTAGGCAGGTACTCTAACAACTGAACTATCTCCCTACACTTTTATTAAAGACTCAGGATCAGGACACATCTGGTAGGCCACTCTGAAATGTGACTTCAACTTGAAGACCTAGGGATAAGATGACAGGTTCCAAAAAGGAAAACCTTGGGTACCTTCAGCTCACAAATTAATCAAAACTGGAAGGGTTTGGAACACTGTATAGGTGTTATAAAGACATAAATTTGGGGTTGGAGAGGTGGCTCAGTGGGTTAAGAACACTGGCTGCTCCTGCAGAGGACCAGGGTTTGGTTTCTAGCACCCACATGGTAGCTAACAACCCTTTGTAACTCCAGTTCCAGGAACCCGGAAGTCCTCTTCTGGCCTTCAAGGGTACTGCAATGACATAGGTGCACTTATACACTCACAGGCAAAACATTCATACACATAAAAATAAATCCTTTTTTTTGTTTTGTTTTTGAGACAGGGTCTCCCTGTAGCTCCTGCTGTCCTGGAACTCGCTATATAGACCAGGCTGGCCTTGAACTCACAGAGATCCACCTGCCTCTGCCTCTCAAGTGCTGGGATTAAAGACATGCACCACCATGCCTGGCTTGATAAATCCAATTTTTTTTCAACACTTAGGAATAAAGTTTTATTGAAACATAGCCCTGTCCATTGGTTATACACACAGTTGTGACAGACTAGATCATCCACAAAGCCTAAAAATTTTAGGTGAGCTTTTAAAGGTTTAAACATTGGCTAGACACCATTCTTTGTAAAATGCAGACAGCAATTTTTTAAAATGAGCTTCACTGTATTCACACTTTATTAGAGGGAACCTATTATCAGTACTTCTCAACTGTACACAAGGAGAACACAACAGCAAAGGAAACACATCAGGGATTGTATGTAGACAGTAACTCTTACATTGTCCTTAATATAATCATTGTGTGATATTTAAGCTAAATTTGATCTTTACTAAGCAAATATTGATAAATCCAATTTTTTAAAAGATATTAATTTGAACTCTAGCATGGTGGTGTAGGCACACAGGAGGATTGCCATAATTTTGAGGTCAGCCTGGGTTACATAGTAAGCTGCAGGGCAGCTTAGGCTACATAGTGAGAGCCTGTTTCAAAAAACAAAATTAAGAATAAAAGGTCAATGGAAATTATTTTTATTTGTATTTATTTTGAGACATTCTGTGCTGAGATTGGAACCTTGAGCCTCATGTCAAGCACTCCATAAATGAACTGTATCCTTAACCCTGAGTAAAGAGTTTTTTAAATTTTTTTTTTAATCTTTTTTTTTTTTTGGTCTTTTTGAGACAGGGTCTCCCTGTAGCCCCAGCTGTCCTGGAACTCACTATGTAGACCAGGCTGGCCTTGAACTCACAGAGATCCGCCTGCCTCTGCCTCCCTCGTTCTGGGATTAAAGGTGTGCGCCACCACACCAGGCCTTAAATTTTTTTAAATTAAAAAAAATTTTTTTTTTTGGTCTTTTTGGGACAGCTTGAAACTCACTATGTAGACCAGGCTGGCCTTGAACTCACAGAGATCTGCCTGCCTCTGCCTTCCTAGTGCTGGGATTAAAGGCAAGCAGCACATTATGAATGTATTGCCTGCAAGCATGTATATGCACCCATATTGTGCAATGCCAGGGGAAGTCAGAAGAGGGAGTCAGATCCCTTGGAACTGGATTTACTGACCCTTGTTAGCTGCCATGTGAGTGCTGGGAACTGAACTCAGGTCCTCTGTAAGAGCAGCCAATGCTCTTAACCATTGATCCACCTCTCCAGCCCCAACTTTTTCTTTCTTTCTTTTTTTTTTCTTCAAGACGGGCTCTCCCTGTTGCTCCAGCTGGCCTGGAACATGCTGCATAGACCCCATTGACCTCCATCTGAGGATCTCAAAGACATCTGCCTGTGTCTGCGTCACCAGTGCTGGGATTAAATGAAATGGCGTGTGCCACCGTGCCCGGCTATTTTTATTTTTAATTTTGTGTGTGAATGTGCATATGAGTGCAAGTGCGATGGAGGCCAGAGGCATCGGAGAGATCCCCCACCCGGTAAATATCTTTAATCAGAGAAGCTTCACTTACTGGAATGTCTTAAAATTTGAACACATGTAGTTTTATTCATCAATGCCTACAGTGTACTTATTGTGAGTCACCCCCATTCCCCCCGCCCTTCAGAAATACACAGCAGTCCTCCCATGACCCCGATGTTGCTTTCTGAAGTTTCAGTTCCCCGTGGGCAGCCAGGAGGGAAATATTAATGTCTTGACGTTGAAGAGACACATTCACACAATGTATTCATAGTTCTGCTTTATTGTTGTGGTTAATCCCTTTCTTTGCCTAATTTATCAATTAAACTTTACTATAGATGTAGCTGTATAGGGGGGAAAAATCCCACATTCTACCGGATTTTGGCGGTTTCAGGCTCCCGTTGGGTACCATGGCCAAGTGGACTAGGATAACTCATGTGACCCTTTGAAGCATCCCATTTTGCAGATGAAAAGACAGCAGAAAGCAGTGCAAAGTGGAATCGGAAGCACATGCTTTCTTCATGCATTCCACAAATACAGTCCAGGCGCCTGCACAGCTTGTCTTTCACAATCCGTATTTCCGGAGGCATCCCAGAGGGAATCAAGGGTTAGAGTGGTGCCCTCTCCCACCACTATTTCCCCTCCGAGCACCCAAAGTGATATTTGGTTGACAGTGCTTTGCACAACGCTGACCTAGAGGTCAGGGCTGCAATGCAGGGCCTGGTTGTCCTCTCTCCCTATGCCTAGGGGGCTAAGCGTTCTTTGGAATCACTTCTATCCATGCCCGCCTGGCCCTCGGATTTTAATTCAGTGGCGAGGAAAGAACACGCGGCCTTTGGCCACGCCCACTCTTCCGGGCCGTCTAACTGCGAGGCTCGGATTGGACTGATTCGGACCACGCCCCCTTATCCTGTCCAATCGACTCCCTCGCTGGGTACGCTCCCTCCTTCACAGCCCCGCCTCGCGGCCTCACGTGACGTCCATCCCTCTCCTCCGTTATCCAGGGGGCTGCGGCTCCGAGAGACGAACCCACCTCCCCTCGCTTCCCATTGGCTGGCCAGGTCCCGCGCGAGCGGGATGGCGCCGTTGGTCTCCGCCCCCAAAGCCGGGCCATGCCTCCTCAAGCCCTTGCTTTCTCCTAGAGCCAGCACAAGGCTCTTGTGTGTGTGCGCGTTTGGCGGCGGCCCGCGGCTGGTAGCGCGCACAAGGCGGCGCGCGCCTCTTTCGGGCCACTCCCTCCACCCGGTGGCCTCTCAGGCAGTAGCCGCGCCGGCTGGCAGTCGCTACTGCGCAAGCGCACTAGCCCACCCCGTTGCCACTGGGGCCAGTTCGCGGGTCTGGTCGCGTTGTGTATCTCTCGCCGCAGCGCCTGAGACTGCGGTGGCTGCGTTTCCCCACCCCCAAACCGTCAGGGGGGCGCATGCGCACTCGCACCCTCCGAGTCCTCGCGCCCCAGCTCGGCGTCCGCGCGTGCCTGAGTTGGCCTGTCTTCACGGGCTGCTCCCCCTCGCGCTGCGTGTGTCCCCGAGGGCCGTTATCCACCTTCACATCCCCCCTCGCCCAACTGCCACGGTTCCCCTGGACATGCACGCGCATTAGCGAGGTCCTCGCTCCTCTCCAGTGTATACACACACACACACACACACACACACGCACAGGCAGACGCGCGCGCGCGCGCGCGGGAGCGGCGGCTGCAGGAAGGAGGTGCCGCGGACGCCGCCATTGCGCAGGAGGGAGGGAGCGAGCGAGGCTGGTCCACCCCCCCTGGTTCCCGCCCCTCCCCC